TGAATATGTATCCTTACCTCTGTCCTCTTTTTAATTTGACACTCTTGGAACATGGCTGTAACACAAAGTTTTGAGGGTTTTTTCAACTTGCTAGTGGAAAACTTTAGATTGATTTAAGCAGTTGGGGTGGTGGGTGCACAAGGGTTTGTTTTTCAGTCAATGAGTACTGTAAGTTATTGCTTTGAAGATAGCCAAAACCACTGAAGAAGCAGCACGGCCGTCTTCCCAATTTGCATTATTTTCAGAGAATAACGCAAAAGAAAGAGTTTTGAGGGTGAAAGAAGATGGCTGTGCATAGCATAAAGAGGCACTTGTGCCTTCCCTCCCCCCCAACCACTTCAATTTTGGATTTTACAGGATAGATTAATTTTTGTTTAAGTATTACCCCTGATAACCCTGAAAATGTTGTAAGCAAGCAAGATCTTTCTCTTTACAGGTGAACAAACAGGTAAAAAGCCTGTGTGATTTGTTCAAGGTAATAGGAGGAATCTCTCAGGACTGTATAGAAGACTCTTGCAGGGGTGACATTTGAAACACGACACTCAGATTACTAGGCAACACCCTTCAGTAAAAAAGCATTGTACTTGAGTTTGCTCTCTGACAGAAGATACAGTGCTAGAACCTTGATGAAGAATATAGGGCTGAGGATTAACAACAAATATTCTTTGGCTGTTCTTGAAAAATATTGTGCTGACTTTTAGTTCTGTATGGTTGACTACTGGTTGCAAAATAAAGAGTTCCAGAGTATTTGACCCACCAGTATTCACCTGGTTTTGGCGTAGTTCCTTTTCTGGGCCCCTTTAAATGAAGAAGAAAATCCAGAAACCCAGATTCTCAGGAAAATCAAAAGTAACTTTAATTTTAAAGACCTTGATCAATATGTAGGTAAAGCCATAATTCATATCACAAACAGGAGGAGGTACTGGCTAATAAGAAGAGAAGTTCATTTACAGAAAATATAGGAGGAAACCGTTTAGTGTATTTGCATGCAGAATCAAATGATGAGAAGACAGGCTACTGTAAATTGTTATTGGATATAGAAAATAGACTCCCTGGATATGGAAACAGACTTGAGGTAAATTATTTTCTTTATTCTGGGACAGCTTACAAAATGAAGAAACATGGTGTTTCTTCTCCGTCCTAAAGAAAGACAAACTGGTTTTTCTTTTTTATAGTAGGAGGTCCTTATTTGAGAGAATTTCGTAAAGCTTCAATATGTCTTCTGAATGTATTTCTTATGCCTGTGTCTTGTGCAGAATTTTCACCATAATTCCTTTTTTCTATATTAGATGCTAAAGATTTATTATTTGGCACTTTGTCCTGTCACATAAATCAATGTGTATCTGAACTCTCAGACAATATTTGAAACTGGTAGCAATGGTTACAAATAATTGCTAGGCAAATTGCATTCCCTAAGAGATTTCCCTTTAGAATTCTTTGACTGTTTGCATTCAAAATAAATAAAAAAATCCCAAAGTGACGTCTGCAACAGTAGTTCCTTCCTTATAACCTGATCTTTAGTTTGTAGCTGTTTAGCTGTAAGTTCCCTCAAACAGTAAGTAGAAGCAACTGAAAGATTTTTGGTGAGTGTTTTATTTACAAATGTTGAGGATAAACTGATGTCCACTGAACAGATGATAAAAAGAAAAGAAGAGCAAATTCATGCTGTAAGGGGACTTTTCACAGTATATTTATTCAGTCAGTGCAGGATCAGACAAGGCTGTGAGGATTTCTCAAAGGTGGAATCATTAAGTTTTCATGGGTAAGTTGTAAACCGGTGGTCTTGGTTGCTGCTGATTTGTTCACTTCCCATTCAACAACAGCAACTAAATGTGTGTTTCTGGTTTTATGCTCAGATTTTTTTTTTCTCATGTTACCCACTGATGAATGTGTAGAATGTGGAGTTGGGATCTGAGGTTTGTGAAAACATTGAGATGTATTAATCTAATGCTGTTTGCATTTTTATTGCTGAATCTTTACTGCCATCTGATAGAGGAGACTTTAATTCTGTATTTTTCTTGAGGCTGATGAAATGAGACACTTTTCTGCTCTGTAGTCTGCCAGAGCGTGTTGTGATCTTGCAGGTACTCTGTTCGGAAAACTTTAAGGGCATCTGAGGTCCGTTATGAGAGATTGTGGAGGAACTCTGTCAACCTCTTGTGCTTTTTTTCTATTTTGATGTACCCTTCAACTCAGCAAGTACCAGTTTTGTAATTTGCCACCACTCTGGAGACCTCTGGCCACAAATCTCTTATCTAGATATTAGGAAGTGCTGTATCTCAAGGAAATCATACTATTTTTTTCATAGAATTAAAGAATAATTTGATTGGAAGAAAACTTCTGGTCAAGCTTCCTTTGCAAAGCAGGTTCCAGCCCCAGGTTGCTCAGATCTTTCTATAGTTATGTTTTGAAAAATTCCAAGGATAAAAACTTTGATGGCTTAAGCACTCTAGGCAAGCTTTTCCAGTTTTTCTTACAGTGTTGTGGTTTTGAAATCTGTTTTCATTCCTGGATGCCAAAGACACCAAAGATGTTCTTCTGAGCTACCAAAAAGTCTCTGCAGAGGAATGAAAATAACGTGTGAAGAGTGAAAGAAAGGAGTCAAGTATGCACTGAATCTGTAGCATCATCTCTTACCTTCAGATAGAAATAAAAACATGGGAGAAGCTTAAGACAGAGGGTGATTGCCTGGGAAAAAAATCTCCACTGTCCAGTCCAATGCCAGACTTTTTTCTGGTGTTGTCTTTTCATGTAGAGAAAGAACAGAGTGACTGTTTTAAGCTGATTTCTCCATCTTCCAGCAGAAAATTGGCATTGTCTGTAATTTGGCTTACTCTTCATTGTTATGATCCAGTCACTTACTGTTTCGTTCTGACCATCATCCATGTATGCGAGTGAGAAGAGCATGCTGATGGCATTTGTACATTTTCTTGGTAATTTATAATTACTTTGAGACCCCTATATCACCCCAAATTAGACATTGAATGTGGCATATTCTTCCCACTGGAGCTGACAGGCCAGAAGTAACAAAGTGGGACTTTCTCCCACCTGGAAATTACATGGGAATATTCTGCAGAGTGACAACAGATCAGCTGTCTAGCAGATTTCCTCAGCAGGTGAAGTGCATTGAATAAGCTGGTAAATTGTGTTTTACAATTTCTGCCAGCCTTACAGTTTTCTACTAGAGTAAGGTTAAACTGACCTGTTTGTTCACAGCAAACTAATGCTGTGATGCTTCGTAGAGCTCTTGTTCCAGACTTTCAGCAAAATTATGTCGTTGCATACACTAGACAGCTCATAATTTCAGCTGAGAGAAATGGCCTGAACTGTGGATTCTTACAAGTGGACTTTGTTATGTGGAGTAGCCCAAAGGTTCACGGGTCTGTGCCCTCAATTGATTTGGACTTCTTTCAGGAATTGTGGCTGTCTGTCACATTTTTAGTGTGAGATTCTTATGTTGAAACAGCGTACGATTGCCCCAAAGATGGAGCGTTTTCCATCCAGTTTTCTAGTTTAGTGATTTCTAGCTGTATAAAGACTAGAAAGCTTGGATAACAATAACAGCAATTTGTGATGTTTTTGCTGAATTCTATGATGTCTTTACTATACACTTTCCCCAAGAATTTAAAATTTTCTTCTGAGGTTCTCTCTCTCAAGACCCTACTCGAAAATACCTTTTGGCCCATTAGAGATAGCTTTGCAGCAGCTGTGCTTGTGTTGGATTGCGTATACGTAGGTCTTTGTTTTCATTCCGAAACAGCCTGATATTGAGCTTGTCCTGATTTACAAAGCTAAAGGGAAAGTCACTTGCTGTCTTTTACATCTCTTCCTTTTTGGATATGCCGACTTTCTGCAGTGGAAAAGGATCAGTACAACTAAATTTCTATTTTGATTTCAAAATTTCCTGAAGTGATGAGGGAGATTCTCCTTGGTTACTGAATTGAGAAGATTATTAATTATTTTTTTCTATTATCATCAGACCCTTTGTTTCAAGGGCTATTCAAAGTATTGATTTATCTCCAAATGATTAAAGCACTTAGTACGTACTTCCCAGTGGACAATTACAAGCTTCAGGCATTTGCTATTTTTATTTGAAAATCTGTGAACTGTTGTAGGAGTTTTCTGTCTCTCTGGTTTAGCAAATTATGAATGTGATGTGGTCTGATGTCTCTATCTTCTCTTGTCTTTGTGTGAACAGAAGATGCCAGATTTTATTGTTGTCATCTATGCCACCCCCCAGCAATTTTTGCTTGTAGTGCATTTTCTAGATACTTTCTCCACTTACGGGCATGTGCCTTTCTTTTGGACATCAAGGAATTAACTTATGCATGGGGGGCTGGTTTGATCTTAAAAGATGGAGACAAAAGCCCTTGTGTGAACCGATTATTTGTTTTTTAGGTCCACGTGGTTTTTCCTGTTACTTACCTAACGTCAGAAGTGATCTTGTCCAGAGAAGCTGAAGGGCTATAACTCTGGTCTTTTTACCTAGACTGCTGCTAAAGGAAGATACATGGTCCTCAGCCTGGCTTTTTAGGCCAATTAAATTTCAGTGATTTATTCTAGGTTGTAAACTTCCTCACTCAAATCCATGCTCTTCACAATAACCATAGATGGTTCTCTGTGTGGAGCTTGGGTTAGTGTAGATTAACCTGAAATAGCAGACTGAGGCTTATGTTCACCCAGTCTTCTGTATGAGTTCACCACCACAGGTATTTGGAGGAGTTAGCTAACCTGAATGGAGAATCCTTGATGACACTGTTGCATGCATCCAGATGCTTCTTAAAATCTTTCCATGCTGGCCAGATCTTTGCAACAGCTTTTGTCTGTTTAATGAAATTTGAAACTGTTTACTGTGTATATTTATGAACACCATAAGCCAAATGAAGAATTTCTTTCAAGTGAGACTGAATGTGTTCTTATCTTGTCATTGGATGTTTATCTTATTTTACTATCCTTGTGTTTTTTGCTACATTTTTGTCTTTTCTATTTTTGTTTTCCAGAATACAATGCATTTTTAAATGCGTTAAAGAGATGCCGTATCCAAAAGAAGGAGAACTCTGTGTTCAGTCAGCGAACAGATGAAGCATCTGCTGCTCAGTATTTTCAGGTAATGAAACCTTAGTGCAAGTTTGTGTAATCTAAGTTACTGTCATTTACTTGACCTTAGTCACCAGGTCGGTTAGGAAGATAGCTTAGGTTTCAGAGAGTGGTCAGGACTTCATGATTGAAGTATCAAGTAATTTAAGGTAAGATGGATAGAAGATGGGCTTTATCTTTTTTCTGTTTTTCCTCACCTCCTTTCCTTTTAGTTTTATGGTTGTCTGTCCCAACAACAGAATGTGATGCAGGATTTTGTGAGGATGGCCACTTACCACAGAGTTTTCCTACAGGACCACATAGATTTCACAGACAAGGTAAGCTCTGTCAAGAGTCTTAAATGATTCAGTATGCTGCTTAGGCTCTAAACTTCAGCTTGCCCTGTAGAGCAACACAGATCAGACTGTAGCCATGCACATGGGGCTTTGTGCATGAATATACTAATTCATGTGTGCTTTATATTATTAATGTTATTGTCAAGCACATGGATGACAATGCATGATGGTGATGGTACAGTCTTAGGATGAGTGGCACCAAACATGGATCCAAACATGAGCTACAAATTCCTCTGCTGTCTTCTATGGGCAATCTGGGAATCCACATATATATGTTTCCTGACATTTTGGGCTGTTATCTTTCCCTTTTGGAAAAGTATCTCCTTTAATAATATTTTTAATTTATCAGCTTTCTAATTCTGTTATTTTGCTCTTAAGTTGTGAGGCAAAGAAGGACTGAAGCTCAAATATTCTCTATATCATTCCTCCATTGTGTTGATTTTTGTCGTCTCTTCTTACGTAGTCTTGCTTCTGAGGTCAGTGTTCTCAGTCCTCTCTCTTTTTCTATATGAAGGAATCGCACATGCCCTGTTACCATTCTTTCCCTCTTTCTCAGTGTCACCATTAATTCTGCAGCACTTGTTTTGAGAAGGATTGGCAGGATTTATGCATGGTAGTGTAAAGAATGCCATACAATTGATTTATATTCCAAAAATCTAACTTTCTAGTTATATTTTACTGTACTATTCATAAATCTTGACTTTTTTTCTTGGGACTGCACCTGTGCTTTGAGCATTGATCATCACCAGACAGTTCACAATGGTGCCTATGCTCTTTGTTGTTGTGTTATTGTTGTTGATTATGATGATTCATTTAGAACTTGGGTGGTACATGAACAGTTCATCTCTTCCACAAAGTTGTATTAATCAGTACTGAGTTTAATTTATCTGTGCATTGTCCTGTGGCATACCTTTGCTAGCTCTCTCTGCTCTTTAATCACTGGATGTTGTGGCATCTGCATATCTTGCTATGACACTGCTCACCTCTCTTAATAAAATAATAAAAACCAGCAAAAAATGCTAGACTACATGTGACCTTCTGTAGTCAGCTGAGACCATGTGAGCTCTATTTATCAAGAAAGTGAAGCTGCAATTATTATTTTTTCACCTTGTCATTTTTTTTGTCTTCTGTCCCTTTCCCTTCCTTTCTCTCATCTTTCTGTGTGCACTTTCTTTTAAAAAGAGCCTCTGACTTGTACTCACACCAGAACTAATAGCTTTACTACATCACAGTCTTAATAACATACAAGCAAATACTGGACAAAACATTTCCTTTTAAATGTGTAGCATAGCTATGGCCAAAATGAGAAGAGCTGTGTGAAGTTTATCTGAATTGTTTTAAGACTGTTATATTTTAACTATTATGTAAGTTTAGTAATGAATTCAAGTGTAGCTGATAATTTTTGTTTGCCATGCAACCTAGGTGAACTGTGCTTCTTTAAAAACTACACTTAACCATGTACTTTCGTAGAAATGAAACAAATAGGTTTCAGTCTCTGTAATTTCTTTCAGGCCTGAGACAATCCTCCTCTCCTGTTTAATTCAATAAGGTTAGTAAATCAGTGGTGTGCATAGGGCTGCTCCAGTTCACCATAGGCATCAGAATCAAACCCCAAAGTATGTGGTTTTGGATGATACCGGCTGGGTAAGTGGAGCTACTGTATCATTAATGGGTTAAATTTTGTACTGGAATACGTACCTTGAATATATGATGAAAGAAACAGCGCAGAGAGGATTTTGTTTGCTATTGGCTTTTTGCCAAATAGGACGCTCCCATATTATATTGCAAGAGGCAGATTTATCTCTGTAGGTAACATAGCCATTCCATTTTTGTGCATGCAGTAAGGAATTCAGGTTTTGTGTACTCTTCACCTCTGTAGGAAATCTTGCTGCTGTGCAGTAGTACAGCTTGCTTGCTTTTGCTCTTGGTTTATTTATTTTTCAAACTCTTGAAGGTGCCTTGGCTTCTCTTCAGCATACCTAATAGTAAGACTATTACAGGCTGGGTGGTGTTGGCCACCCACCTAGAAAATGATCTCTCTTTTTCTAGATTCTGTTGAGAAATGGCAATTTTCAGAATAAATGTAGCTGAAAAAAATGAAGTACTTACATTGTGGCAAAATGTTTTCCTGTGAGAACTTGAGAAACCCATTGTGCTTGACTTGATCTTGATCTGACCAGAAGGGATATCTGGTGATAAAGTACGTTTTCTTCTTACTCTGGGCTTTGTTTGTTTTTGAAAAAATATCTGCATGATAAAGTGCAAAAGGTTATCTGAGTTGTGCTGGACAAAGTTAATTCTGGACCCTTCGAGAGAGTTCTTGGTACTAAATTCAAATGCTGTCTGCCAGAGGTAAGCTACTTTAGGACAAACTGGGAGTAATGCTTGGACTGACCGTTTATGTCTATTGAAGCTTAAAAGAATAAGGAGAATGCATTCAGAATCTTGTGAATCTGAGGCTTGATTCTTCACATTAATATGGTAAAACTTACTGGCATATACTGCTTCATATTTACTCTTAGAAGGAGTTGCCTTAGAGCTTTCACCAATTTTTTTAGTAAAACTTTGTCTTAGATTTTGAATTGTTACAGGCCCAAAAAGGGGAGTTCAAAGTGTTTTAATTGGTTATACTTAAAAAAAGGCTTATAACTAAATTTTACAGTAGCAGTTCTAAATGTCATCTTAGAAATGGCCTTTCCCTGGCCTCTGCTGGTTGTACTCTTACTAATACAGCCCAGTATACACCTGGCCTTCTTGGCTGCAAGGGCTGACTCGTATTCAGCTTGTTGTTCTGCAGAAGGACCTTAGGTCTCTTTTTTTGCAAAGCTGCTTTTTATCAGTCATTTCCTCACTAAAGGCGGGGAATATTTCTTAGCAGCAGATTCAGTAGAACAGTTCCTCTGCTCAGCTTATTGATCACTACTATCAGGAAATTATCCAGACACTCCAGAAATCCCCTGGATTGGTTGTGCCCCCACCATAACCATTGACCTGGACAGGCTGGAGAGCTGGGTGCAGAGAAACCTGATGGGGTTCAACAAGGGCAAGTGCAGGGTCCTGCACCTGGGGAGGAACAACCCCATGCACCAGTACAGGCTCAGGGCAGACCTGCTGGAGAGCAGATCTGCAGAGAGGTACCTGGGTGTCCTGGTGGACGACAGGTTAACCATGAGCCAGCAGTGTGCCCTGGCTGCCAAGAAGGCCAGTGGCATCCTGGGGTGCATCAAGAGGAGTGTGGCCAGCAGGTCGAGGGAGGTTCTCCTGATGATGAGGGGACTGGAGCATCTCTCCTGTGAGGAAAGGCTGAGGGAGCTGGGCTTGTTTAGCCTGAAGAAGAGAAGGCTGAGAGGGCACCTTATAAGTGCCTATAAATATCTGAAGGTTGGGTGTCAGGAGGATGGGGTCAGACTCTTTTCAGTGGCGCCCAGCAACAGGACAAGGGGAAAAAACGGGCACAAACTGAAGCATAGGAAGTTCCATCTGAACATGAGGAAGAACTTTTTCCCTCCAAGGGTGACGGAGCCCTGGAACAGGCTGCCCAGGGAGGTTGTAGAGTCTCCTTCTCTGGAGATATCCAAGACCCGCCTGGACAAGGTCCTGTGCAGCCTGCTCTGGGTGACCCTGCTTCAGCAGAGGGGTTGGACTAGATGACCCACAGAGGTCCCTTCCAACCCCAAACATTCTGTGATAACACCCTTCCAGTAGAAACTGGAGTGGTTGAATTTCCTCATAAGTAATACAGCCTATGATCATGAGGCTTTCTCCAGAACGCATCGTTTCCCTCCTCTGATTGATCAAGTGGTCTATAACAGATGCCTACCTCAGTAATATCTGTATTTCTACCCTAAGTCTTCTTATCACTACCCGTAAGCTCTCAGCTAGCTCATTGCCTGTTCCCAAAGCTTCATGCACTTGAATCATTCTTTGCACCTTCTCTTTTCCAGCCTATCCTTTCTGACAGCCTGTAGCCATCCATCGCAGCATTAGCTGTGCAAGCTATCTCACCATGTCTTTGTACTCCCTATGAGACGAAAGCTGTGCGTGGAATTCACATTCCTCATGTTTGTTTCCCATGCTGTGTGTGCTTGTGTACATGCATCTCGGATGGCAGCCCTGTCGTGTTGTTTTTACAAGGGGTGCATGAGGATCCTGCATTGTGCTGTCTCCTGAACACTCCCTCTCATGCCTTCACTTCTCTTCTCTCTGGCAACCCAACTAGTGGACATTGCATTCCCAGGAGACATTCTAGCTATGGTTTCCACCCGCGGGAAGGCTGTTGCCAGAAGGAGCGTGGGGACCCAGACGGAGGTCCCACACAAACACACAGGTGTCCAGGTCTCTGGCTGCAAGGAGTGTCTGAGCCTGGCACTCGTACCGGAGGACAGCAGAGACAGCAGCCGTGTTGGGTGCGAGCAAGTGAATGATCTGCTCAGCGTGGTGGCAGAGCTGAAGGACGAAGTGGAGAGGTTAAGGAATATCAGGGAGTGTGAGAGGGAGTACGGAGGGGCCCGCTCCTTGCCATCCCTGCAGCCAAGGCAGCAGGAGGTGGCTCCACGAGAAGCAGAGGACCCCCTACACTCTTGCCACCAAGCGCGAGGAGGGGACCTAAGAGACAGCGGGAAATGGAAACGGGTTCCTCCTTGGGGACCGGTCACAGGGGATGTGGGTGTAGATGAAGCTCCATCCGGGGGGTTGCCCAGGACGAGTCAGTCAGCCCCACGTATTACGACTGCCTCAGCTAAGAAAAAAAGGAGGGTGATTGTCATGGGTGATTCCCTTCTGAGGGGAACAGAGGGCCCGATCTGCCGACCGGACCCATCCCACAGGGAAGTCTGCTGCCTCCCTGGGGCCCGGGTTAGGGATGTTGCGAAGAAACTCCCTGGTCTGGTGCGGCCTTCTGATTACTACCCCCTC